TCTCTAGCCAGCCCACATTTCTAGCCTGTAATGCTTAACTTCCCTATACAGAAGTTGAACCTTCAACTTTTATCTGTTACTAGCTGAGATAAAGAACCAGCATCCGACATTTTGGTGAAGTGCTGATTTCTTGTGACTGCAGACTTCACTTAGAAACTAGCTTTGGTGGGTCCAGGAGATAGCTCAGTGGCATAAGCACCTGGCTAGCAAGCGACAAGTCCCAAGTTCTATCCCCAGTACCACACACACACACACACACACACACACACACACAAAAAAAAAAAAAAAAAAAAGATTTAGAAACTAGCTTTGGATATAGTCTGTTTAACTGACCCTACTAAACATGGAAAATATTCCTATCCTCTAAATGTGTCACAGAGCATGGTGTTTTGTGGGAAGGAGCTACTTATGAAAGGATCTCCTGTTTCCAAGACAGTTGCTACAGTGGCTTTATTCAAGTTAATGGTAGTTATCTTGCTCCAACAGGTAACTCTATGCCTTTTGCTCCTGATAAAACACTGTCCAGCCAAACAGATAAGTATCTATTTGTTTTAACACACTCTAAATAAATGCATAAAGGTGAATTTTCATTTTGACTATCTCTCCTTTTTATATTGTTTGTTATTCATAAAATCCACCACAGTGAGCATTGTATAAATAAAAAATGAATAAGAAACCAGATTATATACTCAAGTTACTGTGTAAGGTATAAATGTCAGAATATACAAAGAACTTACATGTAAAAGATAGGAAGGAAAAAGTAGCTCTTCCTGACTACCTGACATTCGTTAGCACCTTGCGTGGTCAGTTTTCTTCATAATTATCACAATGTGAAAAGATCTCACTTGCTTTACTTGCTCATTTCCCCACCAGCCCCCTTTCTTCTAGAAGCAAGTGCAAGGTTTTGTCACTGGCTTTTTCAATTGCTGTATCTGCAGGTGTGGAGGACCACCTGGGCAGCTCTCCCTGAAGGAAGAGCAGTTGTCTCCATTTTGGCTGAGCCTGACCCGATTTCCTTGGGTTGATACATACAGATCTGGCTAGGGCATTTCCTTATCCCTTCAACTGGTTTTAAGCAATGCATATGGGTCTATCCTACGTGCTGGTGGTAGTCTTTGAAGATGGCTTGCATGTTTCCCACCTGTTGCTTTTTAATATGAGGCAGATTGAGACAGAACATACAGCCAGTGCTCCATGCTGTTTGCTGGGACAGAACCTTGAGATAGTGGCTATGACTTCCTGGGGCTTGACAGATTACACACCAGAGCTGAGGCACTGGACCCCAAAGCATTGGATACTAGCTCAGTTGTGTCAGTTACTTGCTTGACAGTCATGCAGATTGCTCTTTCTGCATACCCTTCTTTATGTATATGACAGAGTATGTGCAGTCCCCCCGCCTAGCCCAGCTCATGGCCCTCACACACTTCCTGCCACTCCCTGTCACTCATCCTCAAGCCACTCCTCTCCTCACAAATGAATAAAAGCTGGGTTCGGTTTTGCGAAAGGGACTTCATGGCTGGACTTAGGGCCCCTTGGCTCCCCATAGTTATAAATATGCTTTTTAGTGTCTTTATTCTCACCATGGATTCCACTGGAAGTGGTAGATTGGAATTCACTTGATGGGATTCCAATGACTTATCTTGGTTTTACAAATAGAAACTGCCCCGACCCAAGACAATGACCAGGAAGGGCTCTCAACATTTAGCCACCTTCTCTTTTTCAGTTTTTATTTTGTGCTAGTACACTTGCAGTAAATAGCAATTATGTTCCTCTCAGGGAGTTGGTACATGTACACATCTTAAGTCTTTCTTGTCACCTTCCTCTCCCTGCCCTCCTCCATATCTTGGTCCCTTTCCTTGTGCAGAAGACCTGTCTCTATTTCTTACCTGTATTGAATTTACTCTTATATTTTGAGTTTCTCGTATAGGAGAAACCATGTGATATTTAAGCCTGTGTGTCTGATTTATTTCACTTAACGTTATGATCTAACGGTATATCCATTTTCCTACAAATCACTCAAATCTATCCTGCCTTATTCTTACCCACTTTCTCTCTTCATGGTTCATGAAAATAACTTTGAAATGACCAACCCACTTTTTATTCCTTTTTTTTTCAGCAAAAGGTGCTCAGCAAATGTTTCTCAGTAAGTGAATTAAGCAAAAGTAAAGACTTTCCTACCTCTTTCACTGTAAGAATGAAGCTTCTCCACTCTTCCCTGCTTTCTATGTTCTCTGTCTATAGATGAAGACAAAGACAAATGAAGAAAACAAGAATGATTATGAGTATTAATACTGTATTTACTTCAAAGAACTTAAGAATTTCATGATTAATTTATGACCAGATATGTAAGCCATCAAAACACAGTAAAATCGATAAAATACATATTCTTCTATTGAAGCATGCTGTTTTAAAGTCAGTTGTAATTTTTAAATCACATAGATCAAATAAAATGAAATATTTCATTCCTCTTTCCATAGAACCATTAAAATTCATTTGTTATAAAATATTTCAATATTATCTTCCTTTTATTAGAAAATAGAAATGCATACCTTTAATTCATTCACTTATTAAACAAGAAAAATTGTGCAAATTTACACTGAAAAATTAAATATTAACAAACTTCTTTCTTCAGTATGTCAGTTAATGCCTTCTCTCTTGCTATTTAACATTTACTGGCTTAAAGATGGGGCAATCAGCATAGATATGAATTTCCAATTCTTAGCTCTAAAATACCATTGCTGTTACTACTGTTAACAGTATCTACAGGGCTGGCCAAGTAGCTCAGCAGATTAAAGTGCCTGCTTAGGCAGACACAGGGGTCTGCAGTGCCAGCCCTGACCCCGGGGCATGCTGAGACAAGAAATTGAGACTGGGCATGGTGGTGTGCACCTGTAGTCCCAGCACTTGGGAGGTTATAAACAGGAGAATCACTACGAGTCCAATCTGTGCAGTGAGACCCTGTAGACACTGTCCTAAAATACAAAAAGAAAGAGAAAAGAAAAAGAAAAAACCCACCAATATCTACAAAGCTAATGAGTGCTCATAGTATCAACTCCCTTCCTAGGCCTTCACAGGTATTTGTTTACTCTTGCTAAATAGACATTGCCAGATACTGTCACTCAGAGCAGGCTCTTGCACTGCACCCAACAGCCAGACTGGAGGTTGAAATGGAGTGGATCACGCTAAAGCTGCACATCATGAAACCAAAACTGAGCTGCTATCTGACCTTCCTGAGAACTAAGGAGAAAATGACAGCTGACTTTCAACACAGGCCAATTCCATTTGGCATAAGAAATGAAGTTCCTTCTCTCTTAATTCTTACACACAAAAAAGTAACCTGAAGGAACTTGAGGTTAAAAACCTAGTTATTTTTCTATTGCCTGTCTTTCTATCTCTGTCTTACTAGGAAAATAACTTTGAAATGACCAACCTACTTTTTATTCTTTTTTCAGCAAAAGGTACTTCATAATCACTTTTCTAGCCTGTAACGCCTTACTTCCACAGTAGTTGAATCATCAACATTTATCTGGTACTAGCTTAGATAAAGAACCAGCATCTAACATCTTAGTAAAGTGCTTATTTCATATATGTGTGTGTGTGTGTGTGTGTGTGTGTGTGTGGTTTTTTAAAATGTATTTAGGACAGTGTCTACAGGGTTACAGGTTCTACAGAGTCTCACTACGCAGACCGGACTTATAGTGATCCTCCTGTTTTCAGCCTCCCAAGTGCTGAGATTACAGGTGCGTGCCACTACACCCAGTCTCAATTTCTGTCTCAACATGACCCAGGAGCAGGACCAGCAGTGCACTCCAGGGATTGAACACAGTCCTTGCATCTGCCTGATCAGGCACTTTAATCCACTGAGCTATCTGGCTGGCCCAAGCTTGCAGTTTTAACGAAGTGCTCCTCAGTGAGAGAATTACACCAGACTTACTTCTCAGTGAAGAAACAAAGGTTTAAGAAAAGGTGAATAACTTGGCTAGGATCACAAAGCTAATGCATAAACCTGTCCATGTTTAAATCTAGGGCCTAACTCCAATATAGTTCTCTTAATCGCTCAATCTACAAGTCACCTGGAATGGGTACTTAAACTACAGACTCTGCATCCCAGGAATTCAACTTGAAATTGAGTTGCTCAATTCAAGGACAACTTTTTTTTTAGAAATCATAGGTAGGATTCCTGACTATGTCAGAAGATAGAAGTATAAGGTTTCATTATGGTTGTATATTAAATAAATGAACATGTTGTTCTAAAATCCAATTCCAAAGGCTGGTCATTGTTAATTAAAGCAAAAGAGATACTAAGAAAGTGTAAAATTTAACCTGTCTATGATTCCTTTTTATTTCAGCTATTGAGTACTAAAAAGTGAGTGTACTTCATACACGTAACTCTTTACAGATCCCGTTCTCACTCACCTTCAGGTGCACCTCCTCTGTGGGCAAAACAAGAGTGAAGTTGGCATAATTCTTCTCAGCTGAATTCTGTTCAGTAAGGCATATGAAGTTTTGTATGTCTAATTTGTCAACATACTGCAAAGATAAAGGAAAATCCTCTTAAATTATTTCATGGATAATACACATTTGTTCTAGCAGGAAGGAAAAAGGGTTTTCTTTTCAATTGTTTCACACCATGCATGAGATCCTGGCTTTCCCAACCCCAAAGGGTATTTGGACATCCATTAGGTTTTGGTGCTGTATCTGATTCATACAAGTTTGTGAAAGTTAATTGTTAATTTTTCACAAATTTTGCAAGTGCATTGTAGAACACAGCCATTATTTAATGTATTTGGTACAGGGTCTTGCTATGCTTCTCGGACTCCTAGTGATCCTCCTGTTGTCAGCTTCTCCACTGCTGGCATCACAGGCCTGTGCCACCATGCCTGGTCTGGGTCCCTGCACTCGCTAACCAGGTGCTTATTCCGCTGAGCTATCTTGCTGGCCCACCACAGCCATTACTAAAAATTAAATTATACCCCAGTGTGCCATGCTGAACTAGCCCCCGGAGCACACAAAGATGGCAATTGAG